CCGGCTGCCCTGGGTGCCAACAACGCCAGCCTGGTTCGCATTGTCGCGGCGATTGCGCGCGTCCTGTCGGAGAAGGGCCTACCACGACCTGGTGATCCTGACCAGGAGGATCAACCCACCAAATTTTCTCAGGCGCAAGAACAGCAGCGAAACGGTGTCAATGGGGCTAAGGCGCCCTCTGTGTACGAGAGATGTGTATCTATTCTCCGGCTAGTTCGGGTATGTTTTTTTCTGGACTACTTCTACTGCAGCAGTGCTCGCCTTATCCAACTGGTTGCCTAGGTACACGCTACTATGTTTGTGAATGACTGGAACACGGTGAATAGCTGGTGAACTGCCTTCTGGAGCGAACGTCTGACCACAATGCCCACAACTACTACCTCCACTCGCGTGTTCTCTGAAGCCGAATGCCTGTGTTGTTAGAAACGAGCTGGGCCTCGGGTTTATGCCCCATTCCTAACTGCAGTAGTGTTTGGATCTTGTTACTCTCTGAATTTGCGGACACAGTGAAGTAGGTGCCGTAAGTCTGCTTCAGCGTAAATAGCTTCACACGCAAGTCACTGCTGCGCCCTCCTTGGCATGATGAGTAAGGGCCGCGCACAGTCTGGTCCTTCCCCACCGTCCATTGTATTTGAGGATTTAGTCAGGATAATTGGAAAGGAGTAAATAATAAAGCGGACATTTCGTCTTGCGCCTACGCGCACTACCTAACCGCTAATTTCCCGGACGCCTCTGTCACTTGTGAAAGCATCAAAGGCATATGCGGTTAATTGACCCGTAAAGTGCTGGAAAATGGCATGCCTTTTCCCATGTCACCGATTCTTCTCGCAGTTTTCCGCTTTGTCCTGTTTAGCGGCGAAAACGCCGCCCCTCCGCCATTTCAGTTTCTGGGCAGGAATTCTTTAAATTAATTAACGATCTCCGTATGGGTGGAGTAGTTCCCGAACAGGCAACCAAATACCGAACCGAAGTAAGTCAAGTTATAGTTTACAGAAAGGAGTAACGACTGAAAATTGGGTTAATGCATAGATTCTGAACCTTTTT